GAAAACTATAAGAGGACTTGACTTATATTACTAGGAAGGAAACTTGATCAAAATTTTTAATCTTTTATATTTTAAATAAACTGCTTTGATACAAGTATATGGAACAAACGTAAAGAGATGAGGAAAAAGATAAAATGAATAACCAAGTAGTTGAACGATACGATACAAAAATACGTTCTTGGTCATGACGGATTTTTAAAAATAATGTATACGTATACTTTTATGCGTATAAACTTTCATTCACTGGAATAAAATGTTTATTATCTTTGTATACGTATATTTTATATGTATATATACATATAGATTCATTCTTCGCAGATCCATGTAAAAATATAAAATTTGTTCTGCTCCGTTGCTATTTTAATTTTTAAATTTATATAAATAATTAATATATTAAACAGATTCAAGTTGATAAAAAAACAAATTAATAAGGAAAAAAAAATTTAAATATGATAAAATATTATTTTATAAATAAAATGAGATACATCGTAGAAAATGATGGTGACACGATTATTCAATTTCTATTTTCAGTTCCGCCCGATATTTTAGATTATATGACAAGCACGGATATAATAGTCAGAGAAGGTAGCAATGTGACATTACGTTGTGCTGCTAAAGGATCTCCAACACCAAATATTACATGGAGGCGAGAAGATGGAGAAACTATATTTCTCGAGAATGGAAAAGAAGGTAAGTACTGACCGACATCTATATATATCGTAAAAAAATGAAAAGACAATAAGTGAAATAAAACAAAAAAGATTGGATCGAATTAATCGAATTATATAAATAACAAAAAATTCAAATTAAAATACAAAGAAAAGAACAAAAATTGTACTATCATTTCCCATACAACGAATAAAATAGATTAAATAAAACATTTATATTTATAATAATTTTATTACCTTTTAACATAAATAAAAGATTAAAAGCTGTACATTTGACGTATTATAACATAATAATACTTATCTAATATAATTTTTTCCATTAATTCCCCCAATACATTACGTTTAAACATATTTTGTATTTCAAATAAATTTTTCAGAATTTTTACCTTCTATTTGTTTTTTTTTTATTTAATGATCTATCAATATTGTTCTCTTATTCAGATATGCGAGTATAGTTAAATTATTACTAAAATATTTTACGAAAATATGTGACAATGGTTAAACGAATATTATTCTCGAAGATTGATGGATTTTAGATAGAAAAAGTAATTCTTTTCATACTGAGATTAAATCTCAATATATTTTTACAAGGAAATTTACAAGGGAAATTTTTACGAGAAAATTGCATCAAATCTAATGTATTTACAAAATATTCACAAATTTCTTGCATATATATATATGTGTATTAAAAAATGATATATATATATATGTATTAATTCATATATCATTTTATTTTGTTTTTTATGTTCGCAATATGCTTTCATATTAATATTGGTATATTTTTATTTAATATCGATATATTTTTTGTAGTATATATTATATATATTATTAAATTTGCATTGATCGAACGTAAAATATTAAAATATAAAAGAATTTAACTTCTTCTAACATACATATACTATACAGATACAAACTAATGTTAATGTAAAAAAAATTTGTTAACATTCGAGGTAATTTTGTTAAATGTATAACAAAACGATTTTTCTTTTTTTCTTTCTTTTTTCTCAATTAGAAATATTCTTTGTATTATATTTTTTGCTTGCGATTCGATTATTCGAATTTCGATGAATTATTTATTAACTTGTTTTTACACAATATATGCGTTTAAAGAAATGTTTCCGAAACGCATTTATATGAACGGCCGATAGAAGGTTAAGAAATATATGACGTACGATGAACGTAGAATGAAAATTTATCGCTGGTGGCTTTCAAACTTATTTAGCGAGTATGATGCGTGATACAACGATCCTATCCATGTTGCACCTGCACCATTGCCATACCGATGACGTTAGGATGAAATACATGGTCCGCGTTTCGCACAATAACACCAAGTAATACGAATGTTCTGATTCGCACACGAATCGTTGCAAACACTTTATTCGCGAGACGTGGTAACGATTTATCACTCTTTTGTCTTTTCACCGCATCGAAAACTGTTGCCTGTATCCTGTTCTTCCGCCGGAAACTGCCTACCCTGTCTTATGGAAAGAAAAATGTCTCTTGTATTTTAAACGTCTTCCCGTATATGCCAGCCTTTGTAATACTCGCCTAGACAAATATGTATCTACCAAAAATATTTCTATCAATTTTTTCCCCTATATATACATATATTTTTCTGCGATCACGCGGATCAAAAAATATATTATCGAAAAGAAGAAAAATTTTATCGTTAAAATTCTTTTTTAAAAGTTTTATCAACGATAACTTCTTAATTACTATTATTATTATTTAAATAATATTTTTCAATATATCGCATATTATTTTTATTTATCTCGTGATAGAGTTGAAATTGAATCGAAGTTCGGATCGTTGCGACGAGTATTCGCAATAATATTTTGTCTGTTTCTAAAAACTATCAGTGTATACAATGAAAATGTATATAAAACAATTATGAAACAAAAAAAACGATTTAAAATATAAAAGAATTTTTATTAACTTCAAAAATGCTTCAATTATGCTTTCCATATTTTAAAATTTTTTGAATAGATTCGTCGAGAATAGTTGGAATAAGTAAAATTTTTTAATTAATAATTTAATTAATTTAAACAATCTTAATAAAATAACAGATATTATTTTTTGTCTTTTAATTATTTATATTATATTATATTATTTAAAAGAAAGAGACATTATTTTTTTTTTATTTAAAAAAGAGAAATATCTTTAATCATTTTAATTAAAAATTAATTTGAATAAAATTGATTACACGAGAGCATTTTTTTTTTAACAATTATGATTAATTTAATTTATTTATATTATATATAGTACACGAAGACACTTTTGACGTTAAACAAAGCGGAGATCAAAGATCGCATAGATTTGTATGACGATAACCGAGAAAACGTTTATACATTTTAGGAAAAATTAGTTCAGCTTACTTTTCAGCCATGGTTAGATGTCGTGTATCTTTGAAATGCACCGAAATGACAATAAAATATCTAAAAAGTGTAAACACGATATCAGCGCGATTTCATTGGACAACTCTAAATCGAATTAAATCGTAGCTTTGATCATCCAATTCTATTGCTTATTTGCACACACACTTTTCTCGAATGTACTCGGTACCTCCTCTCTTCATTTTATACATTTATATACATTTTATATATATATATTTATATATATTTCTCGAATTACGAATCATAGTTTTTTTTCGCTTGTAGACCGTGGTTTACTCGTATTCTCGTATGCGCGAATAAAATTGTAGACAAACCGACAGAAACCTATTTGTTGGAAACTGTGTACAAATATGAAAAAAAAAAAAAGAAAAAAATGAAAAAAACAAAAAAACTCGTCGATACTTTTCACAGAAAATACGAATGTAGCGACTCTTCGTAATTCGAAAAATTTATTTATAATTCTTGATTTTTTACAATAACTATTCAAAGTACGTTCATTTAATTATACGCAAGATTACTTATTTTTAAATACGTTTGCTTAGATAACGTTATTTTAAAAAAGTATAAATTATTAGATGATCGATACGTTTACTTCGTTCGAAGAATAAAAGGTTTGAAAATAGATACGTGTAGTAGCATGATCTAGTTATTGGTAATTAACTCATAAAGTAACAATAGTTGAAAAGTAATTAATTAAAATGGAAACGCGAAGTGTATCGAGTGGTTTGGTCAGTGGTTTACAATTTATCTCGTATATGCAAGTGATTACAGAGGGTGGAGTCGACAGGCATTTCAATAACATAAATTGTTCTGTGCAGAGATTAAGCGTTTAGGTAGACAAAGCTCAACGAGAATCGAAAATTCGAGCGGGAGCAGCGGCTGTGACCGCCTTTTAGTTTTCTACCAAAAGATTTACGTTCACCCGCTGACCATGTTCTATGTGCGGTTACTAGTGTATTCGCCATTGACACTACTGAATCCAGAAATAGAAGGTGAAATCCTTCTAACCGGTATTTCGCCTCTGTGATACGCTCGTTACAATTTTCCATCTCTCGTATACTTTTCAACTTGTCATTTTATTTTCTCACTCTCGCTACTTTTCTCTGTTCGTTTGATATCTCTTCTATTATATACGCATATAAATAATATATTTACATATTATATAAAAATATACAACTTCTCTAATTTATAAATTGCCATTGTTATTTCAATTTTGATAAACAACGAAACGCGATAAAATAAACTGGAAATGGATTAGAGAAAGTAGGACGGAAACTATGAGACTTGAGAAACGCGGAAATATAAATTTTGAGCTTTTATTCTTAGGAAGCTTTATTCTTACGAGAAAACTTGAAGAAATCTGACTAAAGAAATGATTTCGACTGTACGAATGTCAACAACGAAAGAAGAAATGCTAATTTCAAATAATATTTCTAAACGATTACGATATAAAAATCTAATAAACGAATATAAATGAATAAAAAAGAATCGATCTTATCGATGATATTTTACTTCATTTCATCTTATTTGATTATCATTTAAGATCATAAAAATCAACGACGTTAACGACGAACATATACGTACTTACATGCATATATATAATACACGAATGAAAGCCATTGATACCTGTATTATTCGCACGTGTGTAAGTGTATGAATAGAATTATCTTTACAGAGATATGTATATGAATTATAAAATTGAAAATGTAAATACGTTGGACATCTGAAAATGCGAAAGTATTTTTAAATAAATGAATATATATCGAGCATAAAATTGGAAAATATCGTGGCAACTAATTCGTAATTGTTTCAATAATCATCGATAACAATTGATAGAGCAAATATTTCTTGCGTTAAATATTTGGCCATGTTTCATATATAATTTACCTAAATCCAAGTAAAATCTGTATACAGTACAAATAACTTGTTCGTCGATTCATTTAACAGGTCGGTCATCCTTTATGAAACAAAGAACAGCGTTGATTTCGTATAGCAAAAAGATTGGTAATAGCGTGTTCGTAATTAATGTTAACTGACCGAGTTAACTCCTTCGTGTTCACTCGTGCATCTGCATCCGTTTCTGGCTTTTTGTCAGTCCGTTTAATCCGAGTAAGCATCAAATGCTACGAACGGTGTAACGATTGTCGCAAATTTCTTGCTAACCTTGCTTTGGTTTACTCGAGAAGAACGGTGGATTATATCTATTTCATTACGGTATGCATAACTCAATTATATGAGTTGAAACAAATTTCAATTGTCGAATAAGATGATGCAAGAGAATGGAATTAAAAAGTTGAGATACGATTAAAACCAATCCAATGGATGATGTTACAAAAACTTCTTGTTCGCTATTTTATCGATTTAAACTCGATTGTTGCGAAAAGAAGTTTGGAAAGTTACATTGAGAAACGTAGTAGTTGGAACGTATGTTTGTTTCGCAAAGGTTTTGCAACTTTGAAGCACATCGAGTACCTATTATTACACTCGTATATTTGTACTCGAATATGATTCTTAACATTCAAACACTTTACCACTCGAATAGAATTACTTGTAATGTTTCAATCTCCGTGTATAAAAAATATTAATATTTTTAATATTATCAATTTATCACTTCGTTATACGATAAAATCAACAACATTCGAAAAAAATAAATTTCTCGACTTTGTTCCAGTGAAAATTGTCGAGGGTTCGATCTTCAATATCACCAAGATAAGTCGATTGCAGATGGGTGCCTATTTATGCATAGCCTCGAACAGTATACCACCTACCGTCAGTAAAAGAATAATGCTTACGGTACAATGTGAGTATTTTTCTTTATGATAGGATTTTATATCTTTACGTTAAATGTTGTTTAATTTAATGTATTTGTTATATTTACAGTTAGTCCAATGATTTCAATCCAAAATCGATTGATCGGGGCTCAAGAGGGACAAAGAATAACCTTGGAATGTAACTCGGAAGCGTTTCCGCAATCCATCAATTATTGGACGAAGGAAAACAATGAAGTTATAAAAAATGGTACTTCGAATTGAATATATCTATTTCTCTCGATATTTTTTTTTTTACATTATTCTCTATTTCGATTCAATTTTTATCGAATTTTATCGATAATATATAAGTTTCAAGCATATCGGTTTGATTTTCAATTTCGAGCGTCTTGATTTTAAATTTAATTTAAATTATTATTGGAAAAGGGAAAAAGTTACATCTGAAATTGCGATGTAAGAATACAGATATATGTAAATATATTTATATTGGTTGAAAGTAATTTACATAGATAATGCGATAACGTGATAAAAGTTGAGCGTTATACTTTACGAGATACTTTAACATAGAAACAAATTCGTATACCTTCGCGTTTGCTCGTTTGTAATGGACGTGTTCCACGATAATTCACCGAAGAGCGATTGAACCATACTGATCAACATAGTTAATGCTGTTTTATTAACGAATGTACGCACAGCACATGGCACATATATACCGTACGTTACTGAAACGGTCTAACAATACGGTCGTAGTCGGATACACAGAAATACGTAGAACTATAATTACTTCGAATAATGAGACTTTGATACTAAATTTTTCACGCGCGAGAATTATTTACACAACGTTTTATCGTTCTATTCTCTTTCATTTCCGTGACAATGCGTAATATCCATTACTTATTATTTTATGTAACGTTTTTTCAAATTTTTTCACTTAAAAAATAATTTTTAAATGATGCACGATCGTTTTTCGTTAATTTATTCTTCGTTTTCGATTTTGTTGTTGTTGTTGTTGTTATTATTATTATTTATTATTTCGAGGAATCGAATCGATGATAAATATAGAACGATATTAAAATCTAATCGATTCATAATATTTCGAAATTATTTTTACATATTTTTATATATTTGTTTTTATTGTTTCTCGTTCATCGTTAAAGAAAGATCAATTTTTTCATGTTTAAATTTATATCGCGTTATACATATTTGTAATAAAGTGACAGAGAGTATGAGTAAAAGTAAGTTCGACAAGAATCATAGTATTATTGACACGAATAAGCACAAATGCATATTCACCGTGTAATTATTTCGTATAACGAGACACGATATTCACGAAGGTCGTGTAGCGTAGTAACCACATGGAATATTATACATCCTCTTGGATCCATTAATGCGTCTAGCTGTTCTAGACTAGGTGATGCAAATACAGTAAGAAAGCCAACGTTATGATCCTCGTATGCAAAGTTATTGATCAATTAAATTATTCCATACTATTTTGTCAGATAGAAATCAAATTTAAATATGAAATATATTTTATCATTAACAAAAAAATTGGATGTAGCTAATTTCATTAAGCTAATTTTAATTTAAATATAGCTATATAGTATATATACAACACGTTGTACATATAACGGAATATTTCAATCCCATTTCTATAAATCTAATAATACACGTAAGAGATTAAATCTATATAAGTTAGAAATACGAATGAACAATCTTTGAATGAACAAAAAAATATAAAACGTACAATTTGAAAAAAATTCACTTTTAAATGTTATTATCTTAATACGAATTTTTTAAAATATAAACTTTTATTTATATAATCGGAGAATGAAGAAAAGAAGAAACGATGAAATGAAAAAAGACGAAGGATAAGAAGAAAAATGGAGGAAAACAAAAAAGAGATTTTTTTCGATCCTTCGATTCGATCATTTATCAGTAACTGAACATTTTGCCGCGGAACGATGCAATCTTAGATCGTTATTGGATAGGAGGGAATATCGTGCGAACAAAATCAAAGCACGGTTGATGATGTAGCAGCAAGTTGTATATATGAAAGTAGCGTGCCTGGAGCTACTTACCGATGCCATTACTGTCCTTTCACCCCTCTCTGCCATTCCGCTATCCTAACTGGTCCATCCTTTTCGCAACACGACGACGACTCGCACCCCTAGTCCACTTACGACCATCTCAAACCGGACGTTTTCCGGACCTAGCTTCGCTCAACCGTGCGTAAAACTTTAATGACTCGTGATTGTCATGACTTCTGCTCTTTGCGACGCTCTTTTCGCCCGTAACGTGTGCGGTTTACCGAGGGAAAACGATGTCCGCTGTCTTATTATTCATTCCCGAGCGAAAGTTTCAGTTAACGAACCTCTCATGCGAAAGTATCTTCAAATTTTTCGATTTTCTTCCATCTTATGCGCGATTGTCTCCTTTTTAATCCTTCAGTTCAATTTCAATTTACCTCAATGTATACCTTACACGTATATCTTACACGTATACTCATACACGTATACCTTACTATTCCTATTTATCTATAGTTTCTCACTTTCTTTTCTCGAAAATTTCGATAATTTTGTTATTTTTCTCACTTTTTTTCAATGGGGAAAACAGAATAGAAGGAAAATATCGGTATCTCCAACTTTTTGCATAGAAGCAATTTTATATCCGAAAATCCATTGAACCATGTCTAGCGTGATAATGCTCGGCAACGCAGTTCAACGTCGTTAAACTTTTTCATCTGCTTTTCAAACTCAAAGCCGACCAAAGTTTTTCTCTTCCGTTTGCTACGGTCGATGGAGCCACTACATAAATGCATTCTACCCTTTTCACCCTCGCTTTTTCCGCCCCTCACTTTTTCTTTTTCTCTATACGTTCTATCTGTCACCAAGTTTCTCCTTACCTGAGAAAATACTATTCTGCTTTACCATGGACCAGTTATACTTACGGATTTCAATCTCTCTTCATTCTCGCGAGATCACGAATCGTTAATCGCGCAAAATTCCTTCTCTCGTAGTCTCGGTATTCATCAATTTCTTCAATTTCTTTCTCTTTTTCTTTCGAAATATCCTTCGGGAATATCATTTTAATGAAAAATCTTTTTTTTTTTTCTTTCTTTCAAACATTCATTTCGTCTAAGATAAATTATCTTCATATAATCGTAAAACATAAATATATTATATCAAATTTAAATATTTTATTTAATGCTTCGATTCTTTGATTTTTTTTTTTTTTTTTTTTGGTTTCGTACCATAAAAATAAAAGTAATATCTTGATT